AGGACTGTGAACTTTGGTTAGTGTTTAGCAACTGTGAACTAGTTGTTGCCCTACTGGTGGGGCATATGTTGCTGCTGCTAGAGTCGCCTGTGTTCCCGTCTCTGCTCAGCCCTTGTGCTGGCTGCCCGGTGTCCTGTGCTTCAAGTATATTTTCTCTTCTTTTAAATCTCTTGTCTTTTCTTTTCAGATAGGAACTTGCTGGTCAGGAAAGCTGGCCTTGTCAGTCCTACTTCCTTAGCCTCCCTGGTGCTGGAATTGCAGGCCTGTGTCACTTCTCCCAGCTGTGGTATCAGCATTTGATGGGCTTTCATTTTTCAGTTTTGTTTTCTGCTGCTACAGCATTCCCACAGTGAACACCTGCTCTTGGCTGTCTGTGCTGGCTGAACTCATCTGTAGAATAAATTTGTAGCTGAAACAGGCTTTGGGAACGATGGTAACTTCTCTCCTTGGAGGTTTGGACATTGCAGAGCTAAGGACAAACACATAGGTGCTTGAGGTTTGTTTTGTTTTGTTTTGTTTGTTTTGTTTCTTTGCTGTTGTTTTTGGTTTTTTGTTTGTTTGTTTGTTTGTTTTGGTTTTTTCGAGACAGGGTTTCTCTGTGGTTTTGGAGCCTGTCCTGGAACTAGCTTTTGTAGACCAGGCTGGGTCTCGAACTCACAGAGATCCACCTGGCTCTGCCTCCCAAGTGCTGTGATGAAAGGTGTGCGCCACCAATGCCTGACCCATGTGGGCACTTCTGCTTCCCTCCATGGTTAATGTTCAGCAAGGATCAAAGAGGAGGGCTTCCTGCTCTTCTTTCAGGGGAGACAGACAAGCACAGTACTTGGATGGTCTTACCTTCTACAATAGCCTATAGGCCTCAAAAATGACCTCTTGGTTTTCCTTTTAGAGTGAACTAGGGATTAAAGAGAAGCCAGAGGTCTTACGTAATACATCCTTTGTTTACCTGGTACTTGTTAACAGGCCAGAAATGGTAGAAGGAGGTTGTGCCAGCTTCCACTGGGGCCAAGGGCAACTGTGACATACTCTGTTAACCTCTAAGCCTCTGCACACAGGCAGAAAACTGGCTCTGGGACAAGTATTGACCTTGTGCAGCAGCAGAAGTCAAAGGAAGCAGGGACCTAGACATTCTTACCCCATCCTTAGTCCTGGATTTCTAAGGAGTGCCTCTTAAAATAGGATTGTCTAGTAAAGGTCTTTGGAGGACTCACTGTGTGCTTGCTGGCTTTGGACAGGGTCTCACATTGTGGCTCAGACGGCCTGAAACATGTTCTACAGCCCAGGCTGCCTTGAACCCAGCAGTCCTATTGCCTCAGCTTCCCAAGTGCTGGGGTTACACGCATTGGCCACCAGCCTGGCTTTTATTATTAGGATTTTCTTGCTCTCAGGTTGCATGTTTGTTGCATCGTCAATGTCAACTTGACTGGATTTAGAATTACTTAGGAGACATAAATCTAGGTGTGTCTGTAAGGGTGTACCCAGGTTTAGTGAGAAGAGAAGGTCCACCTTACATGTGGACAGCACTATCCACTGGGTGGGCGTCCTAGACTGAATAAAGAGGAGAATATTAGCTGAGCTCCATCAATTTGTTGCTCTCTGCTTTCTGGCTGTGAATGTAGTGTAACCAGTTAACTCACCCTGGGGTGTCTTCCTTACCATGATGGATTATATCATCAAACCGTGGGCCCAGATAAATCCTTCCCACCTCAAGCTAGTTTTGTCTGGTATCATGTCACAGTAGAAAGAAAAGTATCTTCTTTGAGGGGGCAGAGAAGCCTGTGTTAATTGTTCCTTAATTAACTGGGATGCTAAGGCCTTTGGGAAGAGCTAGACTGAGGCACTGCCCATTGCTTTACCCATGGTGGGCAGCTCACTGAGTGGCTGCAGAAGCTCTGCATCCTTCTAAGAGAGGTCCAGAGGAGAGGAGCCCTTAGCTGGGAGTCCTCACTCACTCACCTGCCTAATTTGTATTGAGACTCTTAATGTAGAGTGTGTGTCTTTGTCCTCCTGGCTGATGTGATGGAGAGCCTTGTGTTTTCATCTTTAACATTGAATTACTAGAGTAACCCCCTCACCAGCAGCACTGAGGAGTTCTCAGAACTCTCTGAACATTCTGCTCAAGCATTAGAACTCAGTTTCTTTAGGAAGAAGTCATCAGTCAGTTTCTGAGTGCCAGGCAGTGTGAACTCCACAAACCATGTGCCAGACTCAGCCCATCTTCAGGAAGAACAGTGATGGCTTGCTTGTCATTTTGTGCTTTTCCAGAGTTCTTTACTGTTAACACCTAGGACCTCGCTCTACCATTCAACCATACTTTACAGGCTACCTGAGCCTCTTAATGCCTCAGGAGGTGGTCTGTTCCATCCTGCCTCACAGAGGAGGGCTGTGAATCATGAGAGGGAGGGAGCATGCTGTCAGTAGGGAATCCTCAGCCTGTTTCTGAAGGAGTGGCCTCCCAGGCCTGCAGCAAGCTGAGTCTGAGCAGGATGGGTAGAGATACAACAGACAAGACATTGGGAAGTGAACTTTTGCCAGATGCTGGACTGTGTTAGGGTTTTTTGTCTTTTTTTTTTTTTTTCCATTTTTGTTTTCTCCCCCTGCTCGCTTCTGCTATTGTGACAGATATCTGAGAAAACAATGTAATGAGAGTAAATGTTTGTTTTGGCTCATGGTTTCCATTCATGACTGTGGCTCTGTTGTTTCTGGTCCTGTGGTGAGGCAGAGCATCACAGCAGAAGGATGTGGTGAAGCAAAACTGCTCATATCCATAGCGTCTGAGAAGCAGAGAGAGCAAGGGCCAGGGCATGTTCCTAGTGACCTTCTTCCCAGTGATGCCGTTATTTATGTTCTCGATCTCACACAGCAAAACAGTCGGGGGGAGGTGGGGGGAGGGGGAAGTATTAATCCTTTGTCATCAGAGTTATGTCAGTGATTGGAATGTGATCCACCGACAAGGAGGGATGACAATAAGGCGTCCGATAAGATAAGTCTTATAAAATATATAGGTTTATGATAGTTAAGACTGAGCTAACAGATGAGAATCCTTGTCATTGGCCAAGCAGCATTGAACCTAATACAAGTTTCTGTGTATTCATTCGGGCAGGCTGCTGGCGTAAAGCTCACACGTGGCGGTGGGGCTCAGGCAGCTTTTGGTGGAAAGATTTATCGTAACAGAACACCAGTGGAGTAGTTCCTTTGAGCAAGAGCCTTTGGTGGACACTACACTATATCCAACCACAACAGGTGTTGGACCAGTGGTTTGAATCCTGGATATTCAGTTGTCTGCCTGTAAAGTGACAATAGTAGCATATGTGTGTAGGGGTTTTTGATGAGCAAGAAACTTGCCTAAAGCTCAGCATAGACTACCCGCTGGTAGTGTGTAAGAGATGTGTAGAACATGGCAGTTTCATGTTCTTACCATGTACTTCCAGGTAGAACAAAAGACTCAGATCTGTCTAAAGCAGGCTTGCCACAAATATGGCAGCTTCCAGAAAAAGAACTTCTTTGGGAGCATAATTTAACCATTACTTAGTGACTGAACACCTATGTGACATCATCAGGCAGCTCTTTTAGTTTCTTCCTGGATGGTCTTTGACTATCTATGGGGTTGAGTGTGGCTCATTTTTGGATGCAACCTACCTGTCCTTGTTGGTAGCTGGTTCTCACCCAGGAAGGAAGGTTTTTATATTAGGGTCCATACTAGAAGAGAGAGCCAGAGTTTTATGCTGGCGGCCATTTTCTCTTTGAGTATGGTTATGTCATGTGCCCTCTCCTTTTACCTTAGAGCCATTTCTCTGCAGCTCTAGGTGTCCTTAGTTGTACATCGCTCTATGTGGTCCACCAGAAGGGCTGAGACCCACAGCTGTCTCCAAGGATAGGATTTCAGCTAGCTCCTGAGGTCACAGCACCCTGCAGTTAGTATTATCCAGGATGTTCTATGTTCCTGATCTAGACAAACTCCTTGCCCTTTCTGTGCCCATTTCCCTGCTCTTATGAGGCATGTGATGACTGCTGCCTCATAGTTATTAGTCAGGACTGAACTAAGTGCACACATGAGGAGCATATGAAACTCTCTGACAGCAGGTGCCACTCTTTCCCTCCCTGAGTAAGTGAAGCTGACAGCCTCAGAGAAAATGCTTGTCCCTGAAGTAATAACCAACAACAAAAAGCAACAGTAACAAAACAGTGTTGCTCTCATTGTCTTTGGGGAACTTGCTGGGCTGACAGGTTTGGTTTATCAGGTGTGTGCCAAATAACTCTTATTTGTCCTTGCTAACTGTATTAGTCAGGATTCTCTAGAGGAGCAGTGCTTATAGAGTTTATTAGGGTGGCTTACAGGCTCTGGTCCAGCTAGCTGGTCAACAATAGTATTTCCTGAAGGAAAGTCCAAGAATCCAATAGTTGTTTGGTCCATAAGGCTGGGTGCCTCAGCTGATCCTTAGTATACACTGGAATCCCAAAGAAGTAGGCTCTGATGCCAGTGAAGGAATGGACTTGCCAGTCAGAGCAATGGCAAGCAGGCAAAGAGAGAAAGCTTCCTTTCTCCATGTCCTTTATATAGCCAAAGATGTGGCCTAGATAAGTAGGTCTTCCTACTTCAACCATTTAACTAAGAAAAAAATTCCTCCTAGGTGCACCCACTCCCTTGAATTTTAGTTGATTCCAGATGTAGTCAAGTTGACAACCAAGTAACTTAATGCAGTGTGAATAAAGTATCCTCATCTTTATTTGACTAAGGCTGGCTAGCTCTCAGAAGAGCTTCTGTGGTGTCACTGGTGACACTGGAGTCAGCTGAGCTCCCGAGTCATCTCTGGGATGTACTTTCGAATCTCAGTCTCAGTGAACTGAGGAAGGGAAGAGGTGGGGCAGGGAAGAGAAGCCTATGGCAGGGGAGGAGAGACCAAAATGCTGAGGTTTGTGCCATGCATTCAATAGAGATGCCTTGCTTTTTGTCCTGGGATGGGAAAACTACAACCATCTATGTTGTTTTTCTTTCATAGGTCTGTCTGCAGGTTTTGAGCATCTGAAGTGGATCCCTGAACCTGAGTGTCTGCTGCCATCCCCTCATCCTCTGCAGAAATGTCTGTCACCTATGATGATTCTGTGGGAGTGGAAGTGTCCAGTGACAGCTTCTGGGAGGTAATGCCTCCTCTTTTGATGAATGCAGATCCCAGGTAGTTGACATCCAGTGTACCATTGTGGTTTTGGTAGAGTCAGGAGGAGATCAATGTAACTCAAAATCAGCTGAGTACTTGCCATCAAATGGGTGGTGGCAGAGATAGGATGATGTTTTTTAGGGACTATGGGAATGCTCCAGCCCTCAATGGAGGTGGGCACTTACTTGCCTGAAAAGTCTGATCCCTCACAATCTGAGGTGTGTTTGTGAAAGGTCTTGATGATTTTCCTTCCAATGTTCTTGGATATCTAGCAACAACACACAGTAGTGATAAGGCTCAGTCTCACAGGTAGCTTTTATGCCATGATACGACATTATTTTACATACTGCAGGCAAGTGGCCAGAGGGTTCCACAAAGGGCAGGGATCTTGGTAGAGCATCTGCCTGCCAGCCTGTGTCCTGGGAACTCCCTTCCTGATGAAATTATCTTGTGTGGTTTTATTTTTAGAAGTTATTCTCTCCTAACCTGCTTATTTTTCTTCTCTACTAGTTAAAGAAAAGCCAACTGTTTTCTTTTTGTTGTTGGTAGTGGCACCAGGGATGGAAGTCTGTATGCTAGGCAGGGGTCCTATCACTGAGTTACCATTCCAGCCAAGAAAGTAAAGTCTTGACCATATTTTCCCCCATATGAAACCCCTTGGAACTTTCTTTTCATTCTGGGCTGCATGGACAGGGTGAGAAGGACTGGGTGTCAGCTCTGATCCCAGCTGTGCTGTCACTAGCTATGTGACCTTGGGCAAGTTGCCCAGTTTACCTGAGCCTCGGAATAAAAGGGGATTAATACTGGCCCCCAAGAGAGGTTGCCAGATGAGATGGAATGTAGTCTTCAGCTCTGTGTGGGTGCCTTCCTGATAGGAGGCTCCAGGGGAGGAAAAGGTTAGTGTGCAGTCTTGGTGTTTGCTGGGGCTAACATGTCTGAAAACTGTCATCTGCTGGTACAGGCTAATGGAAACAAGTGATCACTAGTGCCCTGATTTTAAAAGATAGCAGAGGGCTCAAACTTCACTAGCAGTTTTCTTTCCTGTGTTCCAAGTGAGAGGACTGTGATTGACTTTTATTCTGTTAAAAGTACTTACTTAGCTAGATGCAGTGTTTATATGCTCAGAGTCCCTAGCACTGGGGAGGCTGAGGCCAGAGAATTGCTTCGGCCCAGGAGTGGGAGACCAGGCTGGACAACTCATCAAGATCCTTGCCTCAGAACAAAATAGAACGGAACATGTATTACTAGCAGATACTGTGTATGAGATACTATGAGGATATGGCAGGGCGTATAGAGAACAAGTCTGGGAACTTAAGGGGTTGCTTCTACAGGTGCAGAGTGAGTGGAAATGAAAGAGAGCAGGCATGTTCTTCCCAGACTGACCAGCCACAACTGTCTTATGAGGATGGAGGCTGGAACTGAAATCTGTATGGCAAGAGGCACTGCTGCCCTAGAAACATTTAAGGCAGCAAGGGTCACAGGGACAGACATATTATCAGCTGCTCAACAGCAGGGTATATTGGAAAGGTTGGAGCAAAACTAGGGAAAGCCACCTTAGAGCTGTGGCTGTAGATATCACCTAGAACAAGGCTGAGCTGGCACTTGCCCTCTGCCCCTGTGGACACAGGTGTGTGGGCAGGCAGGCCCCTCTTGCTGAACCCCAGAGAAGCTATGCCCACCCCCCCACCCCCAGTGTAACAAAAACACTCACAAAGCTGTGTTGTCTGTGCCTCTGTGTGTCCTGTGCCAGGTTGCATTCACTCTTACAGCCCATCCAGGCATATTCACAGAAACTGTTAAGATCTCTTTGCTTTTCTGCAGCCATGCTAGACTCCTACAGAACAGAAATCACAAGTGACGGTCTGAGCCTTGCTTTCAGTCTTCATAGCTGCCTCCCTGGTGTGAACTTTGCTTACAAGATTGAATGGGTAGAAAAAACAAGCTCCAAATGGGTTAGAACTGCCAGGTTTCAGAGTAGAACATGGCAGGGAGGGGATGTGAGTACCAGGATACAGGGCCTGTGCCCCTGCCCTGCTTGTGGCCTCTTGGAACTCTGTCCCAAAGAGCCTTGTTCCTCCATACTCTAAGGTCTTGCTGCTTTCCTGTGAAGAAACAGAGACAAATGAGACATGAAGATGACAAGGATATTTCTTATTACAGTGCTGTTGGGCCCACATCAGTGATGGCAGTGCTCTTGTGCCAGCTCTCAGCACCCCTGTCACACCTGTTGGTGCCTGTTCTGTAGCTTAGCGGAGTCGGAGTGACCCTGCTTGGCTTGTGTTGCCAGCATCTAGCACTGGGCATGGTGCATGGAGGGACTTTGTAGTTGAGGGCCTGATGGCAGCAGGTGGTCAGATATAAATGACTGAGGGTCTTCCAGGAGCTATCATTTTGCAGAGCCTGGCACATCCTCTCAAGGAACCTGCATCTGGTAGCTGAGAACTGGCTGTTTTCAGCAAGCTGATTCTGGCTTTTAGACCACGGGCTATTCCAGCTGATGCTGGCTTTTAGACCACGGGCTATTTCCACATGCTTAGTAGATATGGTAGGATAGGGCAACCGCAGCTACTTCCAATCCTGTTGACCTCCCCAGTCAAGAAGACTGCAGAGTGCTATCTAAGTAGTGTTTTGACTTGGTGCCACCTCTTTTTTGGTCCAGGACCAGGACTTTTATGTATACTGTGCACACTCACTGGCCACAGATCATAATGCCCAGTCAGTGATAGCGTTTCTCTGATTATGATGGTTTACCAGTGCTGGGTGCTTCCTCACTGTTGGTGCTGTCTGGTGTGCCTACGATACCTGGAGCCCTAAGGTCATCGGGCTCTTCAGGAGTTGGTAGGGCCAGGGCCTCCTGAGCCATAGTGTCTCTGCATTTTCTGGTCCTCAGCTGCACACATGAGCATTGCACACACACAGATGGGGAAGTAGGCTCCATCTTGTTGCTGACAGGTCTCTTCACTGTCTAGACATGGTTCTGAATGCCAGACTGCCACTTTTGTGGGGGATGGGAGGGCCATTCCTCAGTTGCTTGTCAAGAAGTTCATCCTCCTTTTGTTTTGTCTTTGGATCTCAGTCCCTTGATTAAGCTGTGGAGGCACACTTTTCCATGTGAAATAGCAGAATTTGAGTGGTATTTGGTATTGACTCTTCAGAGCATCCTGGCTCCATGGGACTTTAAGGACAAATGTTGGTTTGAGCTGGCAGAGAAGGAAGGAAGCTGGGTGGCCAGAAACAGCCTGAGAGGACAGGCAGTGAGAACTGTAAAGCAGGCTTGGATATGAGGGGCCAGGGCCAGAGTAACACTAGAGTTGGGGTAAAGGGACTGGGAGTATGAGTCCCTAAAAGGACGACTATCCCAACCCTAACACTGCTTTTCAGTCTGTTGATTTCCTTCCAGAGCACTTGGCTTTTTATGACAGGCTGACCCATTTCCACATGGCTCTTGTCTTGAATCCCAGGTGTCACAGAACTCAGAGGCTGTCTGTCCCTCTTAAACTGGAGAATTTATGGGTTTCTCCTAAGAGCTGCTGGTCTTTAGCAGCTCATGGCAGCAGCTGTGGCTCATTCTTGCCATTTTCTAGTGTGTCTGCTGAAGGATGAACAAGGGCTCACACCTCTATGTGAAAGCCTGGAGTTCAAGGAGGAGCCTTGGGGGCAGTGGCACACACACACGCGCACGCGCACGCACACACACACACACACACACACATACCTCCCCCACTAAAATAATAAATATAAAAAAATAGGCTTGTTTGAACACAATCTTCCTATAATTTCATGTGTTCTGCTTTTGGATTTAGGATTCATCAACAGAGAGACGGGGGTTCCACTTTATCCTTTTTTAAGTTTGTCAGTTTGAACATTCAAGATTGATAATTCAGTTATCATACCATATCATAATTCAGTTGATAATACCAGTTGTTCTCTGGTATGTGTACTTTTAAGAAATCAGAGCAAGGGTGCCTTTACTGGGCAGTGAACCCCATTTCCTTCCCTTTGCTAGGCAATGAACCCTGTTGTTTTCCTTTATGGAATAGTGAACCCCATTTCCTTCTCTTTATTGGACAGTGGACTCTTTCCTTTGCTGAGTAGTGAACCCCATTTTATTCCCTTTCCTCTGAAGACCAATTCCAGAAACAGGATGGCAGCAGTCAGTGTGGGTCTGTTACCAAACACCTGGATCTGGAGTGAGGTCCTAGGCTTTGTCATGCTGGGACAGAGGCTGCCTGTTGGTAAAGCAATAGAGGCACCGGCAGTCTCAGGCATAAGCCTCACCCTTGGACTCCCTTGTGTTCTGCAGGCAAGGAGCATCATCCCGTTCAGGTGGGGATCCCAGTGGATGTGATGCAGGCCAGTGGTTCAGGGAAACATCCTACCAAGGTGCCCCTAGGTTCTCTGCTCCAAGGTGGAAATTACAAGAAAGTTGAGGGTGAAAGCAGCAGAATCCATAGAAATGAGGATGACAGAGCACTAATTGGCCCCTGAAAAGCAAGACATAGTCATGAAAGTTTTCTAGAGATACCTCCTAATATTTTGGTTTCTTTAAGCACAGGTGCCACAGAGTTTAAAACCCAAAGATCAATAGAAGATGATAGGAACATAAGACCCAGAGGACTATCCCTGTTGCAAGGGTCAGAATAGGGGTGTGATGGGTTGCAGAAGATGCTGAGATATGGAGGCCCCCGTAGGTGTATATACAGTGTTGCATCTATGACAACAAAGGGAGTGATGCTGCAGTCTGTGTGGTCTTAGGAAAAGACTGTCTTGCAATCCTCCAAGCTTTACTGAGATACTGTGGGTTTGGGGTAAAATCCCCAGGCCCTGGATATCACTAAAGCTTTTGTAGGCTGCAGCAAGGGATCAGCGGAGCCCTCTTACTGGCTTGTGCCTTCACTTCTCTTCTAGTAGTATGGAGGCTAAGGAGTGGCTTGCTCCCCTTTATGGATGTGCTGGCTAGTTCTACATAAACATGACGCATAC